ATAAACTTGATTATACAGAAAATCCAATTTTATGTGATTTAGCAGGCCAAGAGTGAACAGAAGTCTCTAATAGACTATTATTACCTTCACTATTGTGCTCTTACCAGCCCATATAAATCAGGAGGCTATTTTGACGATCGAAGGTGATTTAGTGAAATATTAAAGACAGGAAAGCAAAATGTACATAACAAAAGTACACGGGTGCCACTCTTTTCATCTATTATCATATAATCTTAGACACAAAACTTAACTCACCTGGCAAACGCATAACCTTTGAACTCGCCCGTTATTATGTGTCTTACAAGCCTGATCCAAGGCCACTGCATCTTCCCCTCCTTACAACTCTCTGAACTGTATGTATCCTCTGTTTTTGTTATTTTTAGAGATGTCAGCGGGCTATTTAATGACCTTTGGGTGTGATAAAGGTCTGTAACTTGACACTCGGAATGTTCCCCACGCTCTAAAGAGAGGCTATTATTTACTGCAAATCGACCCAAACTCTGATCTTCTATCTGAGAAAGGCCTCGTTCTGGATTGAAGTTCGATGGGTATGATATCAATGTATGCTCAGATCGGTCGTGAGGTCTGCTAGATTGCGTAGACGATGGAAGCGACGAAGACGAAAATTTCTGAAAAGGAGATCTACTGCGCGATCGATTTTTGCTATTCCGATGCTGTCGGTCGTGTTTCGGTGACCGGAAGGAATGTGGACGAGGAGAGGAGCGAGAATGCCTAACGGAAGATCTGGATGAGGAAGGTGATCTGGAACGTTTATGACCAGAATAGGGCCAAGCGAGTTCAGAAAGAGCATTGCGCAACTCGTTCACGTCAATATCCAGTGGAAGACGTCCAATAAAGAGAGTTTTCTGGAAAAAATTAATGTAGATAAAATATTTAATTTCAAGATAACTTTGCTCACCCCACCTTTTCACATGAGAACAAAAGTAAAGTAGTAGGGACTCAAGCCTACTTTTATATGGGGAAAAATTTCAAGCTGAATAAAACCTTAAAGGTCCAATACAATTTTGGCTTAAATATTCTATCCGATGCCTTTTAAAAATACGTCTTTAATTAACCGGAAAGATTGATCAAAAGCGACTTCGTTTATTTAGCTTGCTCGTGGTATCAGGGAGACCTCGAATAATATACCCAGACCTAAGTACTCTGCCTAATAGTCACGATAATAAGTTTAATCAGTAGCGTCAGTGAGAAGGGTCAACCATGGCAACGAGATATAACTCGTCACAGTGACAAGTATGAGACCAATAATTATATATACGAAAAATCGATAAATCTCTTTATGTAAGTGGTGAACGCGATTGCCTTTCGAGCGAATGTGCGGTGAGGAGATTCGTAAGTCGATCTCATCATAAGTAAAAAATTATAGCTTGAATTTACTGGTACTTTTTAATTGAAGCAA